CAAATCTGAAAAAAGAATTTAATTATGTGTGTGAAGTTCCCAACACGCAATGGGCGCCGCGTGGGAACTAAAGCCCAAACCCTCTGACTGTGAGAGGACGCCTGTGCCCAGTAGTGGAATTATACGAGGTGTAATCGCTAAGTATTTTTTTTTTAATTTTTTAAAATAATGCTAGGAATATTCAAAATTTAGAATCCATACTATCTCAGCTGGAGTCCAATTTTTCCCGTACTTTGTTCATTTTGCATGGATCGAGAGGCAGGGACACTGGCTTTTTTTTCAATTTATTTATTTACAAACGATATTAAAGCTATTTAAAAAATGGATATCGTATACCATACGTGTTCTGTTTAGTTAAGTTAATATAAAAAGAAATATCATTGGTATATGTAAAGTATCTATTGAATACAACGGTTTTCTTGTAAAATTTTGAGATAACTTTGTGTTATTTTCTATCATGAAAATTTTTGAGAATCGTGTTTTCACACCGTATACCCTCCATTTTACTGTATAGTTTTTCCAAAGTGGTTGATTCAACACTGTCACTGTATGCGGAATCAGCTACAGCCATTTGAGGTTATAACGACTTTTAAACACTGACATTTAATATGACATTCTATTCGTAGAGAAGCTTTAGTTTCCCTACTTCGAACAACTGCTTTGAATAAAACTAACATAATGGATAAACTGTATTACCAGTGTAATGTATTAAGTAATATAATGGGGGCCTACCATAACCTTTCCAAAAACAATCTTATTTCAATGTAAGCTTAAAGTAAGCTTGTTATAATACTCATATTCGTACCATGACAAACTTGTCTACCAAGAATTGTATTATTGCTAAAATGGCTGAAAGAACGAATGATTTCCCCATATTGTCTATTCTTTACTAAAAATAGGAAAAAAATAACGCTATATGAACTGTGTAATGCCATCTCTTTCTTTTTTGATGTTCCGAATCGTGTTATTGTAGCATAATGTTAAAGTACTTAATGTTATTTACATTCAGAGAATTTTAACTATCTATTAAAATTACGTTGTTTTCAATTATTATTCCGCATTTTCATGAACAAAAATAAATAAAACAAGCAGTCTTGATAGTCACGTTGTGAATTCAGAACTATAGTCTAGTGTTAACTGTTAGTTTCAACAAGGAGCATATAGATGGCGCTGTCACAATTTTACGAAATAAACATCGCGTATTTTTATTTTACGAGAAAATATTTCCTATGTGTTATTAAATAAAAAATAAACAAAATATTGAAGAGATATATGTAAATAAATAAGTTCAACTTAACTTTTAATCATTACAAATCAATATTAAGACAATAAAACTGAAAATAATATTGTTTCCATAGCATCCGTGTAACTATGTTAAGATTGCTAAATTTGACATAAACGCGTCATGGTACGAACTAAATGAATGAATAGTCACAAAGGTACCAATAAAACATCATATTTTGAACATTACAAATAAGCTTACTTTAAGCGCGTTATGGTACGAAAAATCAATGTAAGGTTAAAGTTATATTGTTTTAAGAGGTTGTGGTAGGCCCCCGACTCCATTTTGGAGAGGGTTTAAGCCGTAGTCCTCCACCATGATTTAATAGAGGTTCACTCGTGTACGAAAAGTTTGTATAGCTTTTCCGGTTTTGTTACGATATTTTTCTACGCATTTAAATAAAACAAGAATTAAGTATTTAAATAAACGGAGTAAGAACTGAATCCTGGCCCTCCTAAATAATACGCAAGCGTTCTACCAACTAGGCTATTAGTTCTTTTTTGTGTCTATTATTTCTTAGCCTAGGCTAAAAAACTATAATAGTAAAGCTTTTTGTTACCATTTATATAATGCCTTTATCGGCAATTTTAAAATGATAACACGGAACAATTATTCAGAAGTAGACACGAGGCGTACAGTCCGGCGCAAAAGGCCTTGATATTGCGAGGCAAAGTTAACTTTTAATGAACTTTGTTGAAGTAACTGCAATAAGATAATAATAGAAAAATATAATATATATTTCTCACATTACAAATAATTACTCTAAAATTTCATGTATTTTTTATGACACTAAGTGACGGGACGAACAAGTCGTGCACTTAGTGGTAAGCGACACTGTCCATAGCAGTTGTAGTGCCATTTAGAACCTTAAATCGCAAATATCTGAGGGCCACTGCACCCATCACCCTAAAATGTAAGTTGACTAGTCTCATGTGCTTGCTTTAGTTTCACTGGCAACCTTATCCTTCAAAACGGGAACACAGTGATGCTCACATTGTTGCTTGGCGGCAGAAATAGCGACCACAGAACCCTTTGACAAGGAGCTCTAATGCTACTAATACTTCTATATGTAATATGTATGACACTTAAGTTACTGTTTTCTTCTATTTTGGACATTTCAACTACGATAGATGTTTGACTATTTATCTATTTGACTGTTACGATATTGTTGAAACACGAGTAGTGTTACATTTATTTTTGGAACTTTTTGCATAAAAAATTGCTTTACATAACATCACCAAATTTGTAGTTTCCATTTTTTTAAAGTTTTAAAATTTAGTGACCTTAATCGTGTATAAACTTCCAGACAAAAGAAGACTACCATCAGAGCTTTAAATTGCAAAACCTTTAGCGGGACTGCCACTGCGCCCTTCCTGAGACTTAAGCTGAAAAGTCATATGTGCCTATGATTTCACCAGCTCCCTTAACCTTCAAAACCGAAATGTATTAATTCTACATGTCTGCAGAAATAGGTAAGATGGCAGTTCTTCCCAGGATGAACTCTTTGACAAGCAACTCTACTGTTATATACACACTGTACTTAGCTATTTTGTAGCCCACTGTAGCAGTTCTGTCCATTAACGGCCCAGGCAATAGAATCCAATGAGTCATCAGAATTTAAACTAATTACGGGCCGAAAGGAATAAAAAATTAACGTGAGACGATATCTCGTTTAAGCATTTGGATCCATCAAAAATCACCAAGTCCCTGATTTTGTCGTTTTTTTGTACTTAGAATTCCACTGAGGTATGACGGGAACTTATGTTTTAAATCAACTAAAATAACATTCTTTTAGAATAGAATTTTGAATAGCATTTGAAAGCAATATTGAAAGTACTTGCACATTTTTTACGTAAATAGTAAACACTTCAATGACGTTTTTTTTATGATATTAAGTGACAGGGCGAACTAGTGGTGCGCCTGTCACACTGCGACATAAGTTATAAGGCTTGTGCCTAGTTTGGACAATCAGTACACCTATTACTTACTTTTATGTGCAATGTTTGTACTTTGTTTATCTGTGCAGATTTTTTTTATAACATCAATTAACAGGACAAACAAGTTGTGCGTAAATGTCGTGGCAACAAAATGAGCGTGGTTTAAGGGAATTTATTGTTATCAGTCCGTAGACAACATTAATTAACGCTGTGCAAAAATGAAAGTTTGCAGCCATGGAAATAACAAAGTAATAACATTAAATTCCTCGATAGCTTTCGACTGTAAAAAATACTTATTTACAAAATTTTTTGCATAAAATGAATTTATTAATTCATCTGAAACGCTGATATTTGTTTAAAATAAACTTTGATATTTTAAATTTTTTTGTCACTCAATATACTAGCGTTCAGGCTGTTTACTATTGCTTTTCTGTTCGCTAGTACAACGGATATAATATCGAATGGCAACTGAGATATTTTGAAAGGTATCTAAAATTTAATCCCATAAATCGGTCCCATAAAATTATATAGAAGTAAATAGAATATTATTTAAAGCTCTGGCTTTCATAAAACTGAACGGCGACAGTAAATTATTATTTTACGACTTCCTCACAATGTTACCTACTGCGAAACCCCATGTCTTTAAAATCAAGTTTGCAGTGACTAGTCCAGATTAAGATAAATAATGTTTAGAAATATGTTTTAGAAAACGAAACACTCTACTTGATAGCATTCTTATTTCGGAGTCAGCATGTTTTTAAAGCTGAAATATTCTTTCCAAGAAAGAAATTACCAGATGTAACACTGCATAGCGTTTTGAATACATTACAACGTCTACAACAGAAACATATATATCATCTAAGTAATTAAAAAACATCTACATATTTTGTATTTATTGGTATAAAACAATAGCTCCATAATTATGTCGAACGAAAAAATATTGATGAATCCCTAATATTCATGGAGCGATATAAAACGCGTGATGTTTTCTACTTAATAGCCTTTTCCCTCTTACAGCCATATACATCCTTTAGTCTTGTGTGTAGATAGTCAATATTTGGTAGCACTAATTCCCCAATCGGGTCCGACAGATCGGGTCTGTCCGGTTTAATGGCCTATAATAAAATTGTTCCAATCGCTCGAAAAGCCGACGACCTAAACACTTCGTTTTAATATATTATATTTTATAAGATTAAAGCGGATTAAAAAAAAGGCTTGGCGCTTATCGACAATGAATGGCTATTTCGCTTCGCTGAACGTCTCGAAAAAAGTTAGCTTAAATCTAGTTGAGGTAAATAATCACGTTCCAAATACCACCAGAGTTGCAAATAATACATAACCAGTTTCGATTTAAGTATCTCAAATATTTCAGACTGTTTTTGTTTGCCATAATCATAAGTGAATCGAGACGCGAATATATCATTCTCTTATCTCCCATCAGTATCAGCAAATGACAAGTCGTGCGGGATTTGTGCTGAACCACTTTTCAAGAATTCAGACAGACAGTAATGACTTCGATCACTAATGTCTGAAAGATAATCTCTGGTAATGTAATTAATCAGGATAGACTCCGTTCTGAGAAATGTACTATGATCAAGAAACTTTATAAATAATTCTATTTCCAAGTAGCCGGGCGGATACGGCCACACTTGGCTTCACATCTGCAACTTGAGTTACACCGGCTGCCTGTTACGTGCATATAAATTGGGTTTTTTAACTATGTCGTAGAAAATTAAAATGTGCATGAAAGCGGATGCTCCATCATGCGCTTAACCTGTAATTACGGAATATAGAAATATGAATGCTTAATGTCTTACCTGTGATCTCGCAAGTGGTCTTGTCTTCGGAACGCCTTCCCGCAAATATCACAGGAATAGGGCCGCTCATCTGTATGCGTTCTTTCGTGAATTAGCAAGTTGTATGACTTTGTAAATTGTCGATTGCAGAATTTACAAATAAATTGCTTCTTAGGTCTGGACGCCCTACCAGGCGCGCGCAGTAATCTCCTATCTAAATGAGGATGCATCTGGTGGGGTCCAGCGCCGGGTGGAAACAGTCCAGCTCCAGGAAAAGTGAAACTACCAGCAGTTGTTGGTGAAGGTCCAGGTGCACCCAAGAAAGCTCCGGGTGGGCCATAAATTGGTGGTTGCGAAGTTCCATCAGACATAATTCCTTCAATTGATCCTGTTCTGTGATGAGGAAGTAGCATTGCAGCAGCAGCTTCTCGTAACGCTACTTCTTTCCTTTTTTCAACCATCATAGCCATCAAATCAAAAGAATTTCTTTTAGAAAAGTTTCCTGCTGCTCTATCTGGAGATCCTTTAGCGGGCTCTGTTCTTTCTCTATCTAGCATTCTATCTCTTTCTATCATTTCAGATGGTATTAACGCAGGGTGCATTTCGTTGGGATACATAACAGGATGCATGGCTCTTGTTGGTACTACAGGAACAAAAGCTGAAGATTCGCGATGGGATGAAGTAAGTAAGGCACCAGTTGTCATCTGTCTATGGTAAGATATAGGTGGTGAATCAAAATTGCCACTTGGATTCCTGCCATTTGAAGAAGGCCGCGTGTGAGCCCTTTCGGGATTGCTTGCGAGGAATTGATCATGTCTGGATCTCAGTGGCGCATTGACAGAAGTGTCAGGCGTTGGGCGTGGAGTGGACGCCCGGGAAACTACAGTTCCACTGTTCTCCGACATCACGGGTTGAATAACATCTGTAATGAAATAAAAATATTTATTACTCCTGTAATTTTACTTTTATTTACACCCCTTGCAGTTTATTGAGTTCGATGTTGACAAATTCAATGCAACAGTTGTTATTTTAAAAGGGCAAAGAAATGTCGATAGTACGGTATGGAATTGAACACAAAGCGGGTTTAAAATAAATGTTATTTCATAAGAAAAAAGTATAAGCAAGTCGATGGTTATCTCTGAACCTAACACTGCGTCGCGTGGACAGGTACAAACTGTTGCATTCGTTTTGAAATCTTACAGAGCAGGTGTTGAACATTCAGATTTATGGATCGAGAAACATGCTTAATTAAGTAGCTCTACATTGTTTCCACTTAAACATTAGCATAAAATAGTCATTATTCTCACACAACCTACCTACGCTCAAAGTTAACATGTCGGTAATATTTAGGATGTGATCGAGAAATCATTTAAATAGAAATCAGTTTACTTATCAAATTGCCTTTGGTCTTGTTTTATTGATCCATAACTGCCTAGCACCAGAACATTATATGTTTAGTATGCACTTTGTTTGGGTGTAACCGTTTTAATAGGTGCGATCCTATCGAACAGCTCCTAGACATGTTATGGATAGTTTCAGTATAATAAAAGTAGAGCGTCATTCAATAACTTACATTATTCAAATTTATCATATACCTGATTTTATTAATTTTGAGATGTGTTTCATATTTTAACTTCATAACTTGTCAAATATTCTACTGAGTTTTTAATTTTTAAGATGTCTGATTTACATTTCAATTGGGTAAATTCGTAATAATACAATGGCAGGCGATATGTACATGTAAGTATTATTTTAAGAGTAAAATGTCATATGAAGAAGATTATATCATACAATGCAACAAGAAAACACAAGTTACAACAATAGGTATTATAGTTTTCTTCGCCATTTATTTGAACAGCAGTAACATTTCTGAAAAGATTGCTATTCCGAGATTTACGATTGTCCGGGCTATTTCAATTCGAAATGACTATCATGGCAGGGACAATAAAACTGACATTTGCTTTATTGCCTTGGCTATAATCGTGTGTTTTCATAAGGTTTCCGGTGCCTGTGACTTGTAAGGGTTTGTTTAAGTATCTGTTTGTTATTGTTTTGTAGGTTCATATTAAATAGGATCGATAATGGTATTAATTTTAGAAACAAAATTATGTTCTTCTATTACTTTCAAATCGGTTAAAACAAAAAATGATTAAAACATATACTACGTCAGCTATAGCAGCTACAAAAAGATTAATCTTAGAATCAATTTATTCAAGCGAGATCGAAAAAGAAGGCGAGCGCGCCGGGCCCACATTTCACTACGCGTTGCCCGTTCTACCGTAAAAGCCTTCTGATTCACCATCTCTGTCACTCCTGCAGATTTTTATGTCCGTCTCACTTGTGCCAGCGTTGTGCCTGATCGAGTTTCTACCATCTTACTTACACCGAAGCTGTAAAACTACTTTTATCTCTCTTTGAGAATTTACAGATATGAATATGTATGTATGCACTGCAGTAAGTAATGGTCTCTGGGATGTAATATCGGTCATTTCAATAATATAAACTTTTGAAAGGAATAATTTGAAAACAGTACGTTTGAAAATTTAAATTTCTCCTGAGTCACAAGCTGTTCCTCGTTTAGTACTTCATTTTATGAAAATTTTAATCACGATGACCATAAAGATAGGCTTTAAGATCCATTTTTCATTTGTTACCGTGTTTGTCACGTTGATTCGTGAAAGGAATTGCGTAGTGAATATTCAGTGATCGAAAGCTGAGATTTATATAACGAACTTTAACTTGGACTAAGCAAAAATTGTGAGCTAAGCAAGTTTTTCGTATTTACAAATCTAATTAAAGCAAACATTTTGAATTTACTTCTTAATTTCTACCTGAAATTAGGCAAAGTTCATCTTGTAATTACGAAAATTTTATTTACTGACTATTCATTACTCAAGTATGCAAAGAGACGATGTTAAGTGACTTTTTCAAATGTTTTAATTACCATTTATATGTTACCTTCTAACTTATCTGTGAACTATCTTTAATTATGAATAGTGTCATCAAATATATTGAAATTTATGGATCGAGATTCATGCCTGATGAACGCGAGTGTTTCTGTTGCCCTGTTAATTCTCACTGAATATTTCATAGTGATCTCAATTGAGAGAGACTGATTTAATACTGCGTATGTGTGATTTGATTATAGTGATCTATTGTATATTTTAGGCAGGTCTAATTGTATTATGAATTCTATGTTTTGTTTGCTACTACCAACTTACTGGTGCAATGCGTCTATAAATGCCGTCTCCGTGTCATTACTTTATTAGTTGATGAACTTGGATTTCAAGACGTATTCCTGAAAATGATTTCTTCTAACAGTATGTGTTCAATATTTTGTGTCGATTATTATATTACATGCAAACACAGAAGTTTAAATATATTAGATTTATTTATTTGTTTAACTGCATCATGGATGAAGCACACAGAAATGTATCTCGTATAAACTCATCAGCTCGCCACCGGCAGGGAGTCCATCCTTACACTTTGGAACCGAGTCGATCTTGTACTGTACGGTTTCAGACGAGCTTCCTCCCACGTATTATTAGGTTATGGAATGAACTCTCTGTCGTGGTTTTCCCGCAGGAATACAGCATTGAGTCCTTCAAAAAGGGCTTGAGAAGGGTCCTAAAGGGTTGGCAACGCGCTCGTGACGCCCCTGCTGTTGCAGGCGTCATAGGCGACGGCGACTTAATATATAAAAAAAATAGACCCTATTAGGGTGTTGCCTTTCTTGTATGTCTGGCGCATCATGGGCAACAATCAGCGAGTACCTTACGCCAATTAGCGAATCTTTTCACCACTATGACTTCTTCTTCTTATTGTATCGATGGCATACACTATATTATTGTGGCCCAGAAACAATTGCCGCTTTTTTTTATAATATCAAGTGACGGGACGAACAAGTCATGCGCCTGATGGTAAGCTACACGCCTGTCCATTACAGTTGCAGTGCCACTCAGTGCTTTAAATTGCAGATCTGAGAGGCAGTGCCACTGCGCCCGTCACCCTGAGACATAAGTTGACAAGTCCCATGTGCCTGTAATTTCACCAGCACCCTAATCGTTCTAAACCGGAACGCAGTAATGATAATAATAATAATAGCACTCATCCTTGCCCCGCACTAGGATAACCCTGTGTCACTGGTGCCATGGACACATACATAGATAAACACAAATTACACCCAAACTCACGAGAGAACTAAATGTAGGCCATACAAATATTTTTCCCGACCCGGGAATCGAACCTGGGATCTCTGCGTGGCAGCAATGGTAACCGTTCGACCACAGAGGCAGTTTGCTATGCTAACATTACTGCTTGGCGCAGAACTAAGTAAGGTGGCAGTACTTCCCTGATCGGACTCTTTCACAAGGAGCTCTACTCCTGTTCGACTGCGCTTTCCACGTCACTAGTAGTAGCCGCTATGTCGAAGTGTGGGATATATCTGCTATAGTGATGGAAGGAGTATGAATAGTACGCCATTGCGAGGCGGCTTCCTTCGTGCACCTCACCACGATAACAATTATAGTGTATGTCATCGATACAATACGAAGAAGTAAGTTGCATGTAGATATGTTTTCCTTACTTCCATAAGAGTATGATCTAATCATCCACTGCACTAAGATGTTTATTGGTTTTAATGATAATATACTTTATATATTGATCAACCAATTCCGGTGAATCCATTTTCGGTAAATCGCTTTGTTCTTCACCCAGATACGCATTGCCGTTTTGATAAGGTTCTCGTTATCGTTTGATGGTAAAGATTAACTACTATTTGTTCAGCAATCACACAAACTTAAGGTAAACCGCTTCCACGGTACCATTTGTAGTTGCTTTCTGAAGATAAGGCCGTTTTTATTATAATTTTGTGTACTTCAGTTAACATGTTACTAGAATTTATTTGGGTTAATGTTGGATGTAAACATTTTCTTTCTCGGTTTTTTCTCGGGTTTTTTTTTAAATTAAAATTAATTCAATACAAAACTATATCGTTTTGTCATATTTTAACTTAATCTTAGTCCATATCGAGTTCTTAAGTTTTCGCGATTGTTACACATTGGAAATAACAGGCAATCGTGACCATGGGACCTGTAATGGGCCCGTAACGTTAGTTAGTTTGAAAAAACAAACACAAGCAATTTACGTATGGAAAAAATTGTTTCATTTCCAATTTATCTTTGTCCTCTCTGTTAAAATTAGTCTAACCATGCGACATAGGCAGTAAAACAGTAACAGTAGAACATGCAATAAAGAAATTAATTACATAGACACTAGTTGCTCTTCTATCTAGAATGCATTCTAATGTTACATTTGCATAGACCTAAATAATTACACTGTTATAAATCAACAATAGGTCTCACTAATATGTTAAAGCCATACGACTTCATCATTGGCCCATAGGGTGGTCCTTTGATACCAATACAATAGACCCATAACAAAAGCGTAATGGCCAGTGGTTTGCACACCACAGTACATACAGTATCTAAAAAATCTACATCTCCCATCGTAAATTTCGCACCCACAACCATATAATGCTATTGATAATTACTGTGGAAAACGGTGGCGGAAAGCAATAACATTGCTTAAAATGGTAGAGCAATGCTGTGAACCGCATATCCGTTACTTCCCAGAATTGTTTTACTTTCCGCGGCATGCGCCACCAAAACAATAATAAACAAAAAAGCATCACACGCATCCAAACTATGTAACAGATGATAATAAAACAGGTAGCGGTGCTCAAGCGCACCCTGATGCCTACCCAATTTATTCCACATCCGCTGTATTAAATTACATATACCATAGAAAAAACGAACTCACAAGGCGACGGGTTGCCTGATCGATTGTCAGATGTGTCCAACCCTCCACTCAGGTAGTTCCGCAAAGTTTACAAACCAGGGGTCTGCAACTTATGGAGATTCATTGCAATTTTTTGTCACATTTCACAGTCCAACCACAGTGGCGTCGAGACAGGTGAATAGAAGATTAGTGGAAGCGCACACAACAATGGACGCACTATACAGGCCATAAAACAGTTAATAGACACTGTGAGCGAAAAGTTATTACCCGTTACGAGATGTGTCACCTGTCCGCGCTTATAAGAGCACAATCCACATTATAAATGTTCACTGTAATCCTAGAATTGAAAAGTTTGGCACTAGTGTTGCTGGTGGTAGTACTGGGTAGTTTTTTAGTTGTTGTCAGTGGCGCAAAGGCTGCGTGCGCGCATGGCGCGCGACTAGTGGGAGTAGAGCGCGCGTACTACCGCGCCTGCGCCGTCAGAGGCAGTAGCGCTCCCGTGTCGTCCCCTCCCCCTCCGCGTTGCGGCGTCACCGAAGCCTTCATACCGTTTTTACTTTGGGAGCGATAAAAAAGGGAAGGATATCGCTGGATTGTTTATTTTTCGTGTTAGTAGCTTATAAGTCGTGTAAATTAACGCCGTCCTCGAGTGTTGCTTCGAGAATCATGAATTTCGGCCGTAGTTGCTAATTGTTAAATGTTTTTCCTATGTTTTTCTGTGTCTAAATTCAATTAGAAACTTTTTATAGGTTTTTGATTCATACAAGTTTGTCATAGTAGAGAGGTTAGTCACAAGGTGGTCACAAGTAACTCTAATATAAAATGAAAACAACGTGCTAAATTTTATTTTATTCTTTATTACAACGAAGTCTATCAATACAGTCACATATATATTATTTAAAAAATGTCTATTATAGTGAATTATGCATACTTTCCATCAATCAGGTTTTTACAATCACTTCATACATTAAAATTTTATAAATAAACTTAATAAATTTCGTATTTCATACTAATTATAACATGAAATCGATAAATGTAATTATATTTTGGCAATTATAACTATACAATTTGGCGTATTTATTGGGAAATTTATATTAATAAATATTTGAATAAAATAATAGATAATCAAATTTTTTAATCACCTCAACGCTCAACTATGACTCTGATTACTTATTTACTGAACACATTTATAACTATTTTTATATATTAAAATGTAGATAAATCTACGATTCACTGATGAATCTATGTTAACGTGCTTTATAAATTTTGCGATTATTTAAAAAAAATGTTCTCTTATGACATTCACTAATATACAACTTTATTCTACTCTATAATAAGCATTTTTAACGAATCTGTTAATATTCAAGTCTTTTATTTATTATTCAAATATACATATTTGAGCTTTTACACCATTATTTATTTTATATACATACCGCCATTATGTATCCAATATTTACTATTCGTTATCAATTTAATGCACATTTTTAAGTCACCTAGAATGGACCGCATACTAAAGGAGATATATTTTATCGATTATAAATAATTTTATCCATTATAAATAATTATAATAATGTGCCAGACAACCACACCAATTACCTGGTTTTAAAGTACGGGATTAATTGTACTGTGAGTACCAGAGCAACGGATTTATAACTCCAGGGCAATATCCAGAACACCCAGACCTGAACCAATTTAGAAAAGTTAAATTCCCAAATTGGTCTTTTTTTATGAAACCAAGTGACGGGACGAACAAGTGGTGCGCCTGGTGGTAAGCGACATGCCTGTCCATGACAGTTCCCGTGCCACTCAGAGAATCGCAATAACCTGAAGGGCACTGCCATTGCGCCCGTCACCCTGAGACGTAAGTTGACAAGTCCCATGTGCCTGTAATTTCACCAGCATCCTTACCCTTCAAAACCGGAACGCAGTAATGCTTACTGCTTGGCGGCAGAAATAAGTAAGGTGGCTGTAGTACTTCTCTGGACGAACTCGTTCATAAGGAGCAAGGTCATCCAGTACCCCTAGTGACAAATAATGATTATAAGTGATTTGTGATGAAACACTATGCAACGCTCTGTAACCCTTTCTGAATACATAATCAAAATTCAAGTACTAAATAACGAGAAGTAAGCTAAATTTAATGTCATAAAGACAAATTTTAAGTTATAAATACAATTCAACTTTATGTCAAAACTCACAACACTGATAATAATCACATTTATAAAAATTTTAAACATAAGGGTTACAGATAAACGAGAAAAATGACATAATAATCTCATAAATTGTGCTTTTTGCATTAAAACCGAACTATTTATTAATAACCAGGCGTTGGCACTTCGATATTAAGTACCTAAACTACACATTCTGTCCTAAGGTTCATTATCTACCAAAGCATAGAAAAACCGGATTTCAACAAAACATTTCGTTATTTCGAATAATCTACGCCATTAAATCAAAATAACGAAATAATATTGTTTCATGAAATACAGCTTTACTCCGGTCCACTTTGATAGATACCCCATTAACTTTTGGAACTAGAACTACTCTCTCACGTTATAGTGAATATGTACGAATTTTATCTATTAATAATAGGAATATTTTTCATCTAAATATACTGTTCAATTAATTCAATGAGATATAAGGTCTACAATACTTTCAATATCATCTAAATTATTTCTCTATTGATCCGTTTATCTCTTCTGATGTTTTTAGTTAGCAACGGTAAAGGGCCCCACCGAATAAACGTGTATTATCAAAACATCAAATTATTGATTTTTTCGAAAAAATGTACGACGGAGATGATGGAAATAAATTAACTTGCGTTTTGCACGTCGTAAATGCAATTTAAAATTTTTATAGGTGTATTATTTTGTTACTGCGAAAAAACGCTGTTTATAAAACATATTTTTTTCCATAGAAAAAACATTTAAGGTAAATTAAAATAGACAAAGAATACAAAGATCAATATTCTGTGCCAAACTGGACACATCGACTCCTCCTACGTCAAGTATCGTATGTCGAAATTGCCACGTTTACAGGGGAGTGTTTTAAAGTTCTCCGTTCATTCGACAAAGCTCGTTACTCATGGAGTGATCATCTAAACGATATCTAGGATTTTATAATACTCTACATGAGTAACGTGATTGTCCGAATAAAAGTGAGAAATGCTAAAGTCACGTGTTATGCTTATTTCAGTGAAATAAGAAGTTTAAAAGGCTCCCCTGTTAACTTGGCAATTTCGACATACGATACTTAACGTGGGATGATCGATATACTAGTTTGGCACACATGCAGGTCCAAGTATTGTCAGATCTAAGGAATTTTTCTTTATATTCGAACTTTGTATTAATAATTTTATTATAACAAACTAATAAGATAATGTCACAAAACAAAATGTACATCATATTGGTAGTAAAACATCGTAATATTCATTACAATTCATATTAAAATAGATTATTTGTCTTTTTTGCATTAAAAATAGGTTTTTATTATATAATGAAAAAAAAAACGTGTTAAAACTTTTGCACATTTATTCAGGGGGGACGTCGGCTTAGAAAGGTTTTCAATTTCGAAATTTTTTCCACCTCGTTTTTAAAAAGAGGCCGATTAAAAGTTGATGCCGCATTATTGAGTGGATATACTTAATCAAGACTTTCAAGATCTTCCTTCTTTAACCTCGATTCAGTAAAATTTATAAAAAATGATCGAGATTTTATTTTTCGAAGTTTTAATTTCCTCATTCAACTGTGTTACATGTATAGTAAACATTTGATTGTCTTTATCTCCCATTCCGTTGCCTTTAACTCTGATAGTTTACAAAATATTTTTATATCATTTTATGTAGGTAGGTTAACTCCTAAACCTCATATATAGTATATGTAATATATTGATGTTAGTCAATAAAGGTATTTAAAATCATGTAGATTAAAGCTCTGCTTTATATTTTATTTTGTCGTTGTCGGGTATGTCTCAAAGTCATTGGTAGTCCTATTAGTTACGTTTAGATCTTATGATGGTAGGTATATTCCAAAAAATGTAATGTATAACTCCAAAATCTTTGTATATATATATTTTTTCGTCGTACTCACGACAAACACTTTTATAGTCATTTATATATTTTATATCAGACGATTATTTTTTAATAAAAATATAAATATATTAAAATGGCAAACGAAAATATTGATCCCTATAAAATGTAAAATGTAACTACTAGTTTTAATTCTGACAACAAAAAGGACGGGAACCAAGTTTAAGTTATAGCACTCGACGATGTTGCAGTGCGCGATCAAAAAATATTTCCTATTTTTCATTAGTTTGGTCTATAAGAAAGGTATTTACAGTCCAAATGTACTTTACACATGTCTATACAGTCGACGCCCTAAGATACCTGACCCTATTGCTGACTTACATTCTGAGATCCTACTTATACATTCAACAGACAAGTGTAAAGGAAATCCAGCTTTTTGGTTGAAATTTGTATTTATGTAATGTACTTAAATATCAAATTGGCTTAAAAAGTTTCAAAAACGTCATTCACTAATGATGCAATAAGGAAGTCATACCGAAATTAATATTACGGCTCACAGGTTAAAGGTTAAGTTTGTTTAACACCTTTCTTCACACTGATCTACTCATAACCAAATAGGTGGTTAGGGAGTCAGGTATCGTAGGGCATCGACTGTACCTTTATATGTACGTACCTATACAACAAAAGTCGCTGAAAACTATTTGACATCTAAATTACGAAAAATTACATCCAACTTTGTTCAAACTTTAAATTCTCTCTAAGATCAGCTTCTTCTGATGTTGACTGCAAAACAACCGGCTACTAAGTAATAGACTAAGTACTAGAATAAGTAACAGAATAAGTACTTTTATTAAAAATATTATTCGTTTAACAATGTGCTTTGCATTATTATCTATGTGAAGTGTTTGGGCCAGCAGGTAACAGACATAAATTTTTAAGTAACTATAAAAATAACAACGGAATATATATTTGCTTAAATTATACAAAATCAAATGAATCGTCTGAGGAATTAGATGGTCGTCAACCGGCCTTCATCCATCGGTCTATGGAATATTCGAGCGCCGCCATCCACCTGTAAACGATATAATTAAGTGATAGTAGTCTCTCAAGTTCTGTACCGGTACCATGAGATTTCAGTGACAGTTACCGTTAGTGATAGCATAAAATGTTTGTATACAAAATATTGTTTCTTCTTGTGACTGCTACGGGCGCTGTATAATTTGCCATCCAAAATTGTGAAGTAATTTACGCGGTCGCTAGGTACTACTACTGTCACAGTAAACATGGTAGAAGCACTGGTCGGGAATAAAGAACTTCTAACCGCAATTGCAGAGATTGCAATCATTTTATAGTTTTGTTACACTAAACTCAAATAATCTTTATGTCACACTTGAAATCGCCATATTCATTAAACTCTACTCATTCGTAATGAGTAAGGAAATCAGGAGTGGCTCTTTGTAAATAAAAATTTGTATAAATTTATCATTTACAATATTTATTTTATGGATAGGCGTGTAGTTCACCATCACGCGCAGGACTTGATCGTCCCGTCACTTGATATTATAAAAAAAAATTCAAATGTGATAGATCAAGACATCTTGTTAGAATTATACTAGTCACACACACGCAGAAGCTGTAAATCTATAATGTAAATTGTTGTTTCACTATAGTTTTGAACTTCGTAAATGGCAAATTTTGAATATCAACCGGAATCTTATTAGAGATGCGTATATATTGCCCCATAAATGAATTTGTGACTTTGTGAAGAAGTTCACTGTGTTCTAGAGAACAGCCAGTTTATTTTTATTCCTCGTATGAGTGTTAAGTTTATGACTATTTATCATAAAAATATTATTATTTTGCTTAACATAAATTAAATTTTCGTAATTGTATTGTGACGCTAACGTGAGAATATTCATTTCTTTAAACTATTGCTACAAAGTGACCGGCATAGCTCGCAAAATAAGTAAGCTTAAGTGGCAGTGGGCCGGGTATGTCTACAGGAGCGTTGATCGCCCATGAAGCAGACTTGTTCTCGAATGGCGATCACGTCAAGGAAAACGTAGTATAGGACGCCCTGCGGCAAGATGGACAAACGACCTGAGAAAGGTGGCCGGCATCTGCTGGATGCGGGCGGCATAAGACCGGGAGAGTTGGCGTGCTCAAGGGGAGGCTTATGTCCAGCAGTGGATGCGTGTAAGCTGATGATGTACGTTTTTGTAGGACAAAGATTCTATTAATATCGACTGTATTATCATTACATTGTCAATACAATAAATTACATAAAACACATAAACGCAGCCACACGTCATTTGATTTGGATTTTGTTTTTGGTTTTCATTAAATAAATTTAAAACTTTGTTATGTAACTGCTCAGACTTTTAATTTTGTAACTTTCGAATTTAATTTGAACACATTTACATTATTTGTTTATAATCATATCCATTCGTTTGTATGTAACATAACAGATGGTCAACGCTTCTGATACGATGTTACATGTGCATGCTGTATTTGCCTATTATTGGGTTTCATCATCATCAACCCTTTTATGCGTCCCACTGCTGGGCATGGGTCTCCTTTCAGACGAGGGTTTAGGCTATAATCCGCCACGCTCTCCCAATGCGGGTTGTGGACTTCACACGTTTTCCGAGGGTCGTGAAATTTCTTCAACGTGCAGGTTTTATCACGATGTTTTCCTTCATCGAAAAGCTCGTTATACATTTCAAATTAAATTTCGCACATAAACTCCAAGAAATTCAGAGGTGCTCGCCCGGATTCGAACCCACGACCCTCTGCTTGAGAGGCAGTAGGTCAAACCATTAGGCTACCACGGGTTACTATTGGGTTTACACTCGAGTAATTTCTGCTGTGTTATTTTATGTCCATATTTAATAGAGTATTTCTGTCGGCGAGTCTAATAAATAAAAACAAATTTAAAAAATGGACAGTTTATAATTATCATCAATACGTAACGCATCCAATTTTTGGTATTTTTTAGTACCAACAGTTCGTTTCATTTAGGACAACGGGTTTTCCATAATTAAAATTCCCAATCCATGGCGCGTCTTGTACATGGATGACAGTCCACATTGTAGAGCAAAGGCGTCGATAATGTAACCTAATTCCCTGTATTAATTTAGATATGTGTCCTTACCGTTTCCTGTCCATTTCCGATTCGGTATGGAAGTAGAAATGTCTTTGTTTTGGTTCTGTTGGCATGACTTCGAAAGCGTATTTCTTACCACCAGGAGCGCAGGATTGGACCTTGTATCCGTGGAGACATGCCATACCTGTAAAACAAAATAAAGTACTCAAATGAACTTCATCTATTCTGCCTTCTTGTTATAACTATTGTATTTGTATTTTGGTAACTTTCGAGGCATTGACACCTAAAGTTCTGTTTTGTTTGAAAAATATGAAATAAAACTGAAACTAAAAAAGGTACATAAAATCGCTTATAGAGGGTTGTAGATGGTGTTTAGCTGATTCCAGACATGTTCATAACTCAATTTCGTTAAAGAACCGACAACGTTATTTGTATCTAAGGAGGGTAGTATTCGTAATTTAAACATTTTGTATTTTCCCCGCGTGAAACTGTAATTTTTAAGGTTGGATAACACTTTAGTACTGCGTTCACACTATACGTGTGTTGTATGTGAAGTAGAGTCAGAAACCTCATGTGAAACACGAGATTAATATACATATTGTATAGGAAGTGTTAAAGAATCAAAGTCAGTTAAAGTACGGAGAGCTACACGCTAGAGAAATCATCGAAATTTCAAATTGATAATCAAATATCACTCGATTAATTTGTTCACCTTTGTACAAGAATAACCAGCTCTGAGTAAAAATCAAACTACGCACTGAGGTACAGAAAACGCATGTACATACCAAACGCGCTCTTGCTATTTCCATCATTATAAAAGTATAAGCAGGCATCTTTGAGGACACAGTATCGTTTGGCCCAGGATTTCCACTTGGAGCCTAGCTTCATCAGGTATCCAAAGCAGTCGGGACGAGGAATGGATGAAGGTGGTAACTTCATGTTTCTCATGGTAACTTCCAACCACCCGTCACGCTGAAAAAAAAGGTCATCGATGTACGTACCTAACTTGCAAATTGCAAAAAGGACACGTACCTAATAAGAAATAGAGAGTAGTAAACTAAAAAAAAATATTTGTTTAAATGTTTTATTTATATGAATAAACAATATTGCAAAGGTAGAAAAGCTTTAGCGGCTATTATACACATGGAACAAAGTAATAAAATTCGTCCATTTGTCAATTTAATGCGACTCAAATTCACTTTGTTTTTGCTCGAAGCATTCCTGAGACGTCGTAATGTAGCTACGGAAGTAAGAACCACTATACTAGCAGGATGGATGTTAATCCGTAGCCGCTAAAATTGTAGAGGCAATAAACGCCAGAACCAGTTTGGGTTGAAATACGAGCAGGTCGCTTTGGTTGCTTGGTGGGCTATAAGCGGCCATTTTTATTGAGATACGTTGTGACGCCATCTAGCACATACCAAGTGAACTTCTACGCTAGAGCCACGAGATTGTTTTGAGTGGTGATTGTAGTTCTAAATATTCGTTAGGTTCTAGCTTTAGTTGCAAGAGCAGATAAAAATCTATCGTTATTATAACAAGCCTACCATCGTAAAAAGCATTATAATAGTAATCTTGAGTTGTGCAAGACAAATTGACACACAATTTCTGATCTAATGTTACTGAATTGCGCTGTGACATGTTTTTTCTTCTTTCAAATTGTAATGTAATTTAATTTAATCTATGATATTTAAATAATATTGTCCACCTTAACTGTTAAAGTAAAAAGCACAAAATTTTTATTCCTATTTTTATTCTAAATTTATTACGTTACTACAATAGTACCATCATTAGGGTACTAATGAATTTTTTTTAATCTTTATTTAGGGGCTTTGATCGTTATTGAGCATGCTATTGAATTATTACGGTGCGAATACGAATAATTTTAGCTCTTACTTGGTTACTAGCGTCAATGGCATGAGCTAGAACAGCGCGCCATCTAGCGCTGGCCTCGGCGGTGTCTGCAGCGAGTTGCAGTCTCGTACCACCACCGCGCTGCAGTCGAAATCCGTGCGGTCGACCCACGTCTTCCTCAGTGAGTTGGTAGTTCACTAACATTAGCGCTCCTACTGGATGAATACTCTGAAATGTGGTGGTAAAATGAGCTGTATTATTGGGACATTAAATACAATAAATAGCTTGAACGTTGTTTACGCGCCCTAGGTTTATTTGTCATATTTATAACAATGATTTTATTATTAAGTTTACTGAATACATTGATCTAGAATATGACGATAATTTACTACCATGATAATCAATATGTTTTTTGTGAAAGACTCTTATCGTACTCCTAATCTCGTATTCTTAAAATTTATTAATAGAAAGATCGAAAACTAAGAAGAATTCCTTCGATCCAGCTGGATCCGAGCTGGATGGAGTGGTTTTATTTCTAAACTGTTAAATCAAGGAAAATTAGAACAATTAATAAAGGAAATAATAAAAAGAAAATTCAAAGGCTAAGAAACGAAGGGTAATAATTTCAGTAGGTACAATGTACTAAAAAATCGACCTCAAACGTTCGTGGAATTGCATCTATTTGTCAAGTTTTGTGGAAATCGGTTATCGAAAAGTGCGCGATACTAAATTCATCCCCTAGTTTGCTACCTTTAGAGGCGGAATATTTTCTTCAAATCTAAATGATACTAATACTGAGGTACCCTCTTTCCAACAAAAAAAAAAGAATCATCGAAATTGTTTCACAAACACCGGAGTAGTCACGTAACATAACTCCTTCTTTTAAAGTCGGTTAAAAAATAGCGAATTCATCAAGTGTCTACTTACAGAATCGGTCTTGTAATAGTAAAGGCAGTTGTCTCTCTTGAGGACGAACCAGCGCCGTGTCCAACGCGGGGAGTGGTGCGTTTTGAGGGGGGCAGCGCGCCATAAGTATCCGGAGTACAATGCCGCTGGGCCACCTTCGTGTGCTAGAGAGGCAACTACTTCGCATGTTCTAGCCACCTGGTAAAAAGAAAATGGACGCGATTGTCAGACATGTAGAAAACCTTTTCAGAAGGTTTGTAAGTGACAATTATCGTTGTGTTGATTTCTTAGGTTTTCGCAATTATTACACGTAGGAAATGAAACTATTTTTCGGATCTAAGTCGAGTATACCTCTTTGTTTTATCAAACTTGTAAAGGGTCTGAAACGTTAAAAATCAAATTATATCTAAGAACGAAAGATTTAGATCTGACAAATTGTTTCATTTCCTGTAGATTAGAAAAAATACAATTATTTTGATAATTATAAAATTAATTGTAACAGCAAAATGCTGCCAATAATAATGTTGTGTTGGTAAGTATTTGTATCAAAGACGTATCCAAACGTGTCAAATGCCAATCAATAAAATTGTCAAAGAAAATAAATGTCTTGATAATTTAATTACCTGCCTTTTCTAGACGAAATGTTGTCCATTTTAATATGTAGCGTTCTAATTACACTGGTATGGCACTAGTGGTAGGTACTTGTTACTTATTCATTTGTGCATTAGGGATTTCTCAGTGTTCGCGTTGTGACTTACCTCGAGTTCCAATATCTCGGATCCGGAATGAGCAATTTTCACTACTTCAGAATGTGTTTTGTCTAGAACATTGATACCTGCAAAATAATAAAATATATGTCATATAGTAGTTGTTACAGGGTTAAAGGAGTGATTATTTTGGTTCTGTACTTTGGTGACATCCCACACTGTACCAATGCCACGCTGCCTGCTGCGAGGGCGAAAAACACTGCAACTTATTTCCTACGACAAACCACCTGAATCCCTTGTGTGTACGAACACGCATAATGACCTTGTGTGGTGCAAGACTCGTACAAAACAAACAATCGCAGGCACGTGGCCCTTTGTCGCCGTGTGGTCGGCTTCATAGATTAGATTTCAAACAATAAAGTATAGCAAATATTTACAAAAGATGTTGGGTAACTAGAGATAATAAAGTAACAGCTTACCGTTAACGGCTATGACAATGTCGCCCACCTCCAACCCGGAGGTCTCGGCCGGCGTATCGGATTCGATCGCTGACACCACGACTGGTTTACTCCCATGGATCCTGAATCCAAATTCCTCATTGCCGCGTCTCACCACTACGGTCTTATCGCTCTCTGAAAACAAAAATAATGATCTTCTTAGGCATTCTAAATGGCATAATTATACGATTCAATAAATAGGTATATTTATCTGTAATATTGATGTATTGTAATGCGTTAAAGTTTTAATTTCAAACGATTACCTATTATAATTTACTAAGAAGTATCAATAACTAACTGAACCCGTGGTTCAGATGGTTAGAGCAATGCTACGGTGTTCAGCATGGACGTGTGTTCGTGTCCCACCGGGTCGACGAAAAAAACTTTTCTGTGTATTCGTAATCCTAACAAAGCTAGTGGAGTTACTTCACAAAAAAATCTCAATAAATATCAATAACTAGTTTCCTTAAAAAAAAATTATCAAATTGAGATTCAAGTACACTGAAGTATCCGTGTGGTTCTTACCTGACAGCTTTTTATATGCCTAGTAAATTTATTTGTCACTTGACCTGATTTTCAGACGTATGTATCAAAAATTCAGTCAACTGTAGACAATAGAGTTAAGCAGTAAATTCAATATTACTTGTTCCAAGTTGCTATTTTAGGCTGTCGTCACTAATTACGTAATATAGGAACTATGGAGCTTAGTGACTGTGGTACTCTCGTGAACTTATCAAGTACCTATGAACGCATTTGTGCAAATGTCCGGTTATCCCGTATTTACGTCGTACCTAATGTTGACAATCAGAAGACTGATTCTGCAATTTCGCGGAATAAAAGTTTCACTATGTAAAAGAGTAATTTTCAGTTTCTCTATCTGATTTCGGTGGAAATTTTAATTATACAAATATTGTAGAAAATTATCATGAAGTATTGTTTCATATTCGACTGTAGTAACCTGAAATATTATTAAATACTTCAGGACAATATACTCGAATACTTAAATAATAAAAATTACCACCAAAATTAGGTGGAGAACTAACCTGGAAATGTCTCAAAAAAGATGTTTCGCTGCAACAATTGTCCGTAATGCTACAGGGGTTCGATTTTTTTATAATATTAAGTGACGGGACGAACAAGTCGTGCGGCTGATGGTAAGCTACATGCCTGTCCATAACAGTTGCCATTGCAGTGCCACTCAAAGCTTTAAACCGAAAAGATCTGAGGGGCACTGCCACTGCGCCCGTCACCCTGAGACATAAGTTTGCAAGTCCCATGTGTCTGTAATTTCACCAGCACCCTTACCCTTAAAAACTGGAACGAAGTAATGCTGACATTACTGCTTGGCGGCAGAAATAGATAAGGTGGCAGTATTTTCCTGGACGTACTCTTTCACAAGGAGGTCTGTTGGTACTACGTTACATTGAATAATTGTTTCGAGATAAATAATATTCTTTTCGTTACCACATGGTTCCGTCGCAACCAATCTGTGGACTTCAGACTGTCGACACCACAGGACCAGCATCAGTTTGAATATTTCTTCCAATTTTTCTCTTAAACTACCCTTTGGGTTCATTATCATATCTGTGACTATAGAAAAAGGAAGGAAATAAATTGAATTAAAAAATATTTTTTTCTTTCTCAATAAGAAATTAAATTAAAATACATAACTTTATCACAAACAAAATATAAGAATACTTACAAAAAAGCCCCATTTTCAAAAAAGCTATGAATATCAAGTGGTCTTGAACTTCATAGATCTAATGACCCCGTTTTGTCACTAACAGTACTTGTAACGCATTCACTAAACGAAAATTACGTCATTTACAGTCTCCTAAACATATGTCTATTTAAAATCGATACAAAGCAAACCATTTCGTACAGGAAACGTAAAAATATCCGACAACAGTCGCGTGTCTTCAACAACTAAGAACTGACGTTCAGAAATGCTACGAGAATTAAATTTAGTCCGGTCAAATATACTGGCGCGTGTATGTATGTCTCTATGAAAAATACTTTCACTATTTCCGAGACGCCAACTTTACAGCAATCAATTTAAAATATCCATTAGTTTTATCAGTTGAAGGTCAAATTTGTTGGAGCACACATTGAAAATGCACATCACAAATAACGCTCGAGATACAATAATAACACGAAATTGTAGACTGAAAAATGACGTCATAGGACGGTGAATTTTTGCTGCCAATATCGAAGACAAATGTAAGAATAAAGGGGACACTCTCAAAATAATTAGTGACGTTTTGAAATAGGGGTATTAGAAATAGGCGTGGACGTCACAGTATTTAGTAGAGCAGTTACCGCATGTGCTCTGTTGATTTATGACGCAATCTGTTAACTAAGGGAGAACGGGTAACGGATAAATGAAGGTCATTGGGATATTTATTTTTAGTAAGTACGTTAGGTGTATTAAAAATGTGAGTTTGGTATAAACCAGAGATACGTAAAGTGCCTTGTAAGTATATAATTACTTTCGTATTAAGTTTTAGGGCAGTTCTCATGAAATTTCGAAATTCGTGCTTACGATATTTATGAAAATTTTTAGGAGGCATTTGTATTCATTTTTGATCAATTTCATAGTACTTATGTTCCAAAATAAATGATTCTTAAAAAAACGTATAGGGCAGTCAGAACATTTGAGGGTGAGGAAATGACTGTTAGGGACTGACGAAACAAAAATAAACCAAAAAAATATAGCGATATAAACTTACTTTTAGACTTAATATTTTGTATAAGCTTACTGCTACCAATAACTCGTTTGAGTGAAACATTAATAAATAAAATCAAATGCTTCACTTCTTTTTATATGATGTGAGGGAATGACTGTCAAAAATGTAACTTTAAGAATTTTAAATTAAATCTTTTCATAGTAGAAACTTTTTACAGACACAAGTTAAATTTCGTCATTTTAAACGTTTTCAGTGCTGTTAACTTTTAAAAACTTATAAAATGCATTTACCAAAGATTAAAAATGCGTTCACAAATTGAGTGAAGGTAAAAGTGTGAGGGAATGATTTTTTGGTTGAGACATGAATAATAACACATTTTATAAATCTATTTATCGCTTTTTTACCAATAGATAGATTTAATTTTGCAAAAACATATTTTATTTGATAGAATGTTTAAAATTTAAATATTATTTTGTTAAATGTGCTGATTTAAAGCACAGATCGTGTTTGATTATGGAACTTGGGATATGTCCCAACTGTCACTATGGTGAGGGAATGATTTTGGGGACATTTTTATTTTATTATATTATTATTTTTATTTAAATACACTAATAAATATTTTATGTAGGAATTAGTAGCAATTGATTATAATAATTTGATATTAAATATTAATTTTACGGCAAGAATTAAATACTTTTTTATATAAACCTAAAGGACATGAATGTCAACATTTTGTAAGAATTACCCTTCAATAACAACAAAAACATCTTAATTTTAACATTCTATAGTAGGTGCGCGTATTTTGTATAAATACGTATAAAGGCGAATGAATGTTAACATAGTCAAATTGAATTGGCAAAATATTTAGCTACAGTCGATGCTTCAACATACATATTGCACAAAGCAATCTAACGTAATCAACAGAAAAGTGTAAAGAAATTCTAGCTTTTTGGTTGTAATTTGTATTTCTTTTTTATAATGCCAACTTATGGTACAAACAACTCATGCGCCTGATGGTAAGCGACACGCCTATCCATAACAGTTGCAGTGTCACTCAGAGCTTTGAATCTTAAAGATCTGAGGGGCACTGCCACTGCGCCAGTCACCCTGAGACATAAGTTGACAAGCCCTATGTGCTTGTAATTTTACCAGCACCCTTACCCTTCTAAACCGGAACGCAATAATGCTCACATTACTGTTTGGCGGCAGAAATAGGTAAGGTAGCAGTATTTCTATTTAAATTTATGTAACGTAATTAAAGATCAAGTTGGCTTAAAAAGTTTGTTAGAACGTCATTCAGTATTTTACGTATCACTAAAGCTTAATTTTGTTTAACACATTTCTCCACTTTGAACCAAATAGTCGATTAGAGAGACAGGTATCCTAGGCCATCGACTGTACGTACTTTAAATTTATATCTATATATATAAAACAATAATATCTCGGCGACTCATTGAAAAATTATTTCACACAATAAATACACAGCAAATAATTAAATATGCAATCTGCCAAAATTTTTTGTCATAAATAGAAATAAATAAATATAAGACAACATCACACAACGGTACCACAAACATCTAGGTCCGAGACAAAAGTTAGTTAGGTAGTTAAAGAGAAAAGTTAGTTCTTCTACATTGACCCGACCGGGAATTGAACCCCAGAGATGGCGACGGCATGAAAACCGGTGTGTAAGTCACGGAAGTTGTTAAAAAATGTATTCAATGTAGAATGGTACAAATAAATTCAATGTATTCTCATTTTTTGTTAAGTTTTCTTCTTAGAGTTCATAGATAAGTATCAATTCATAAAGAAGTCACTCACTATGCAACCAAATTGTTAGTTGTTTTTTAAATTTTGTATGAGTAAAAACATTTTCATTACCAAATTTGTTTCGACGACAAAAAATACAGCGTATTTTTTACGAAATTATGTAGAGTAAGTAAAAAGTCTATCTACTATTTTCACTACACTGCTTGTCTACTTACCAAACGAATTATCTGCCTGTCTTCTATTTAGTTCGATACAAGCTCGTCGATGCACCAATCTATGCGTCAATGCGACGTATTTCTTGTTGAATTCAGTTTCAGACTCCGTTGGGTCCTCGTGACCGGATTCTGATGTATCCAACACATCTGCAGTAGAACAAACAGTTCATGGACTCATTTTTTAGAATATTTATCTCAGCTTATTCTAAATTAAAATAATAGTTTTCGTTTTCATATTTCAACTCGAATCAGTCATTCAAAACGAATTAAATTATTTGTTAATTTGCGAATAGATTAGGCCTTAGATATTATTCAAAAATGAAAAAGGAAAATAAGCCGCCTTAGGTGCAGATATGCATGCATATCTTCCAAGTAAAAAAAAGTAAATTAGATAATTTTCTACTAATGTCTAAATGTCCAAATGTAAAATTGATGACTATTTACACTTGTTAGAATAAAAAACTATGACAACCAAGGACATGGCGATTAGACTAAAATCTTCGAAAAAATTTGGTGATTATGATGATATTACTAACTCAATTCTGGCAATTTGCGACTTGTACCTTTTCGCTCTACAGCGACGACATAGTCGAACAATTATTATTAGTTCATATGTCACGAAGTCAAAGTTAAAGTCAAAGTCAAAGTCAACTAATCATTTAGTCCATAGGTAAAATTTTTACACTTGAAAATGTAATTTTTTAAGCTATTGCTCGTTCACTACGCTGACTTCCCTGAGAAGAACGAGCAAGATACTCCAAGGATTGTTCTTTTGAAATAAACTTAAATGCTATAGAAAACATATTGAATCATATTTGTGTGGAATCTAGACTCACGTTGTCTTTCCATACATCTTTATCTAGCACGTAGTCTACCATTTTGTAATATGACTTTTCAATTAAAATACTTTCAATGGAAGTTTTAAACTTAGGATATGGTAATCTTAATATTTTCGTTCCGGAATCTTATTGTAAAAATGTATACGAATAATTAACTTAAGGAAAATGACACCTACAAGATTAAAAATATTATTTTAAAGCCTTTTATGGTTTTATTATTAATGTGATTTCATACTACTACCAATTAAATGTTTCTTATCGTTATTATTACTAATTTTATAATATAATTAAGTGATAATCATTTATGAATAGCCACAAAACATATGCTTGTCAAATATTTATTGATACAATTTAATCGTAGGTACTCAGTCTATCACAACAATTGATTTAAAGTTCCGCTTCTTATTCATGTCAGGAATTATTATTGTACTTGCCTGGAGGTATTCTTGTCCAATGATCGCCATTTTCAGATAGTAGAATCCAGTTGCCACACCACCATGGCGCTGCGTACACACCTTTTTCTTCTTTGCCGCCTTCAGCACCTTCTGAACTTCCTGAACACTCTTCATGTTCTGTGAGCAAAGTTTTGTGTAGATACTACAACCGCATTCAATATAATTATAGTGTTTACTGGATCAGCATAATCTATAATTTGACGGTATCACTATAAATTAGATGACTTCGGTGACCCAACGGTTTGCACTGTGGGCACTGGATTAGAAGGTCCCGGGATCGATTCCCGGTAGTATCAATATGAGAAACGAAATTTTCTAAATTGGTTCTGGGCTGGGTGTTCTGGGTGCCCCGGAGTGACTTCCGTTGCTCTGGTACTCAATGTACGTGGAATTCCTTAATATGAGACTATTTTAAAATACTTTTACTTTAAAGGTTTTCAAACTTTTTATTTGTAATTTTAAAAATTTACCTTTCAGTTTAAAAAAAAAATTTAAATATCAAACATACTACATAATAAATAGAAATAATAAATTTTACACTTGTCACAAGTATTAAGCTGCATACACGTAATAATATGAACTAAAATTACACGAACGAAGCGCCTATGAAAAACTTATCGGCAAAGTTTTTGAAAATAAAATTGTATAATAACTCACCATCAGGATCTGCACTTGAGCCCGCCAGTTTATCGAGACTATTTCCCGCAGATCGAGCGATACGAGTATCTTGTGGTTTTTCATTTGCTGCGTATTCTTCTTTGCCTCTTTCCTCAGACTGCAAGAAGAGATCAAACTTACTTTGAAATATACAATACAATGAACCATAAAGGAACACTAAGTACAACGTTAAAGTGCTTTTCAATTGACGAACGAGGTGAGACGAGAATTGAAATCTCACGGGTCTATTTTCAGCAAAAATCGCGATTAATCGCGCTGAAGTTGTCGAGAGTGACATAAAAATATTGAAATATAAATAATACTTATTTGATAAGGATAAGGCTGCAAGTATTTGTTTGACGCAGTGTTTGTATTAAAACCTGAGCAAGCGAAGGGTGCTGTGATTGAACCACGAGCTTAGCGAGGGCTTCAAGACATAAGACGCAAAACAACTTTTCACCTCACAATAGCGAGGAAACTTGTAGATGAAAGCAAAAAAATTAACTATAACAAATCAGTTTTATTCATTCATACATCAAATGTAATATATTATTTGATTTTTAATTCGGGACTTAATCACTTCTCACAATCTCGAAGTCCCTTCGAGACCATGGATGGTGCAATATATCCGAAACGTCGAGGTAATAAACATGTTTCATACGTGATTAAGTCCCGAATTAAAAATCAAATAATGTGTAAAAATCGTGAAAGTTTAAATCAAAGTAAATATAATATAATAAACAAAATTAGTTATCGTTGTCAATTTCATGTCATCAATGATAAGAATAAAATATACCAAGGGATTTCTATCACATAAATAATGTACGACAAGTGGCGAAGTTGAACGTGTCATTATGTTTTTTATCATCGAAAGAAAAAGTTAGTTGCACTACATTGTGGTGACCACGGTCCATCGTCTCGTTCGACTCTCAAAAACCTTTTCCATGCTAGTATGTAAAAACCCTTTTTTTGAGAATAAAAGCCTTTCCGTTTTAGTGAGGTGAAAAATTATATTATTTGGTTGATAAATATAAAAAATGCGACTGCACCCTGCAATTATTTGCAGAAAAGTAATAAGATAAGTAAATCGTACTTATCCCAAAATCTCGCGATTGATATTAATAGCCCTCGCGACGTCGTCCTCGCGTCGCTGTCGCGCGAGCTCGTGCGAGCCCTCGCGAGGCATCGCGTAACTCGTATTTCCGTTACTGAGTTAATAAACACTGCATGTGGGCAGCAGTATAGCTTAATATTACGTCTACAAATATATTTCAATTCTCGTTTCGCACATTCTCGTGTATTCAGACCATTTGCACCGAATTCGCGTTTAAAGATAATTCAAATTTGAAATTCTCTCATACAAATTTCAATTCTCGTTTCGCTTGGTTTCGTCTCGCCTCGCCTGTGGAAAAGCACGTAATTGTAGAAGTTGATGTTTTTTGTTTCTTAGGTTTTCACGTAGGCAAACAATCTACCATACAGCCTGTTCATATACTTATTATGAGTTTTACTAACATATTTTATTGACAGTGCACGTCAAAAGTTGATAAACGTTTATCGAATTCTAGGAAATTGAACCTTCATAAAGTCGAAATTGAGGAAGGAGACTCGAGAATGAAGCAATTGGGATCAATCTCATTAAAAGTTGAAATTATTTGTCAAACAACAATAATCCATTTAAGTTCAATGATATATGTAGTCTTGGGGTAGAAACGTTAGCGTCGATATCGTTGGTTAGAATACATTTTTTTCGAACACGAAGCTATATAAACTATTTACGCATTAAAAACAATGTAGTATTTTATATCATTACTTATATAAGTTTATATAGTAAAAAGTAGACATTTGTATTTATCCTTTTAATGGTGATATAATTTTATTTATCTAGAACAATGCAGTCACACTACTAACCAAATAATTATATAACAAATATGTTTGTTTATTCTTTCTCGTCTTCTGAGGGCAGTGCTAGCGTATTTTTTTTATGGTTATCAAGTGACAAAACGAACAAGTTGTGTGCCAGGCGGTAAGCGACACGCCTGTCCATAGCAGATGTAGTGCCACTCAAAGCTTTAAATTCCAAAGATCTAATGGGCACTGTCATTGCGCCCTTAACCCTGAGACATACGAGTAAGTTGATAAGTCTCACGGGCCTATAGTTTCACCAGCATCCATACCTTACAAAACCAGAACGCCATAATACTCACATTACCATATATCATATTTAGCCGTGGGGCGACGGCTTAAGAATACATTGTCGCCTCCCCATACATGCCCGTGGGGGTCGTAAGAGGCGACCGAGGGCGTCACAAGTGTCCATCTGCTTAGCATTGTGGTAGGCTCTGTGCCGACTGGATAGCGACCACAGTACACACGGCGGAAAACCCTCCACAGTGAAACGCTTTTGCGAATCGCGTTCAGGGATCAGTTGGTGTACATCCAGTGCATTTGGCCAGACCGGCAAATTGATAGTGACGGAGTGAAGATATTTGTGTTTTCCATCCGTTACTCTCATCTCTGGACTGTATTCGCACTTTCCATCAGGCGCGGTGCAGTCATTTTGTCGAGTCGCAATAAAAAAAAAAAAAAAAAAAAAAAAATTACTGCTTGGCGGCACAAATAGGTACGATGGCACGTACTTATGGCGTGTTCCCATTGTATCGTGACGACAGATAGTCGTGCACTTTAAAATGTCGTGGCTTGTATATTTGAATAAAGTTGTTCACATACTGCACAATATGATTAATTGTCGTTTACGACTTTGTAGACGTTACGACGTGTCGTGATAATAGGAAAAGCTAGAACGACACAGTCGTTCGACGATAAATAAAACGTCACGATAAAAATGTGACGACAGATAATCGTACAGGCTAGACGCGATAGTCGTCCAACGATAATAAAACGTTGCGACATAATGGGAACGCGCCCTTACTTAGACACACTTTTTTGCAAGGAGACACAATATTTTGTTTTACGAATAGTTGTAGCGCCCTATATTATGTTGATAAAAAGTGTTATTTATTTCATTAAATGTACTAACTACACTTACACAAACACACAAACAAACACACATATTTGTTTTTGTATAGCTTTAACTGCTTTTTGTGTAATAAAATATATTTATCAAAACTTTAAGCAGAATATTTAATTGCACAGTGAATGTTATGTCTGAAGTGTTTATATAAAATGAACACTATGCCATCGGTATTAATATATGTATAATCTAATGATTGAAAGTTGTTATATCAATCGTCCATTTATACCCAGTGACCTTTTTAACATGCAAGATTATGTGAAATGTCTGTATACAAGAAATTAATTATTTCTGTTGAGCGTTATAACGACTAAAAATATGTCATATTTTGTTGTTATATATTACGAACCGCACCCGATATACGCATATAGTTGCTTAGGTACTTATGGTGTTAGGTATTTTTAACGTTCGTTTTTAAATTGTACTTTCCCTAACAATGTAATGGCATTGTATTTATTATACGAGTTAGGCAATCCCCGTACCCGTCGATGTATGTATGTATGTACTCGTATATACATACATATTATATTTTTCAGTATATTTTCTTCGTTTTAGTCTGTTTTCTCAATAAACGTAAATAAGTGTCACAAACATGTTTACAAAAATATAGTACCTACTAGAAACCGGGAACACTACATAAGTAATTTTTTTAAATATATTTCTAACCGGGTAATTTTCTGGTTAGATCTACTTAATTTCAGCGGCAATTTGTATTATTTAAGTATTCGAGTAAATTATTGTGAAAATAAATATTAATTCATATTTCAGGTTACTATTAAATAATCCTTCATATAGTATTCTATAATATTTGAATAATAGATATTGCTAACGACACAAGGTAGAGAAAACTAACCAAGACGTGAGAATTATCTAACCATAGGCTTTTTAAAAAAGGAAAAAAAGAAACTGCGACTAAAAAATTTTGCGGACGACATTTTTCTTTAATCACTTCTATGCATCGAGCATATTCGATTCTTCTCGATTCTTTCTTCGATGTAATGGTCAAGTAGCGGTAAAAAATAAGTTTCACATAAATTATAATTTTGTAGTGTGGCAATTAGGCTCTTCGCCTGTTCTTTGTTCAGAAGAAAAACAAACATTTCCGATACGTTCGAATAAATGTCATTTTTTTTATATTCGTACGAGCCGTTTTACAATTTGGTCCACTTTCTCAACTAATCTATTTAATTAAAAATCGTTTGTTTTGTAACGTTGCCTTTCGCTCCTTTTGTTTTATATCCTTAGTGCATTCAAAATTTGCTCCAGGTCCTCCTTTTCGATACTTTATGCACGGATTTTTTCATGTCCTCAATCTAGCATTAAATACCAAACCCAATGTGGCAAGCCAAGTCATTTAAAAAGTGAAGTGAAGTGGAATAAACGTTAATTGAAAATAAATCATGCTGAGCACCCCATCGCGAAACGTAGATTAATGTAATTTGTGGTTTAAGAGTCCATGAAGCTATGAAAGTGCTTGATAAAACGTTGGTGGTAATAGCAGTCTTTAAGTTTTGTGGTTCTGAGGATACCGAGTATACTGGTAATATAGAAAATGTCTTAACTCCCCAGGAAAACCCACCAGACACAATAGGCAATAGTTTTCAAGTGCCCGATGAAAAATGGATAAGTTTAGCTATTAAAAATATAGCTTATTTTTTGCGACACTACAAGTATAACGATTGGGATAGAAGACGATTTCATGAAAAACCAAACAGCAGTGATATCGGCTTCTTTAAAAACTTCCTCTTACCTCCTTTAAGAACCCTACACTGGGAAGTGAAAGATTATTGTCGTAGAAGTTTTCTTGAATGTGTTGCTTATTTGCAAATCTATATAGATGAAGTACCATTTGCTAGAAGACAAGATAATATGACAATTTTTGTTGACAAGTCACTTCCGCTCAAGAATGATTTGATTAGCAAATTGAATAATGATTGCAAGAGAGCGTTGATCTATTCAATGTATATTAGTCATCCCTTTTCTGATGTCATAGATCGGTTTAAATGGCTTACTACAGCATCTTATTACATGTGTTGGTACACAATGATGGGTGTACCATTTTTGTCAATGATTGGCGAATCATGTGATAATTTTGCTGATTGCTTAGAACAAGATTATGGCTATCGTAACAGAGATCTAAGATCTGATGATAGACAACCGTTCGCTTGTGCTTTACACAGTTTCTGCCCTGACCCTTGCTGTCCAAAAAAATATATAAGAGCCTTGCACCAGTGCGATAATGAAAATAATCCTTGTTATTTCGAAGGTGAAACGCCTACGGATCGGAACTGCGTGTTAGACAGAACAAGTAATCAAAATTTAAAAGGTATTATTAAGAATGAATGGAATACTACTTGCAAATGCCAAGATCCAGGATTCATGTGGATATCGGAGATGGGAATATGTGTCGATATCAATGAATGTGTGACTGGAAATCATACATGTGACAATGCAAGTGAAGAGTGTATTAATTTACCAGGAACTTATGAGTGTATTTGTAAGTTCGGGTTTGGAAAAGACAGGTATAAAAAAAATTGTTCAAAAACAGATATTTTTACTAATTCCTAAACTCGATTAGAATACTTATTGAAAATTAATCATTAACTTCTCTGTTTTGGCAAATATAGCAAGCTGCGGTACCTTTGTGCAATCAGAAATAAAGTACGAAACAAACTTAAGTACCGTTTCATTATAACTATTATGTAGGTGGCGCTGTAACGTAATTTGGATTATAATTGCCTGAAATATAAAAAATATTACTGTCGTCATTTGTTTCATACCTTAGCTCGCACGTCCTGCCTATGTCTGTAGTGATGCTTGGATTTATCTTCGCTGCGATATCTTTTATCAAGTTTTTTATACAATCGAACGCCACTCGAAGGTTTTTTACTAGAGCTACTTGCACTGCAAGATGGAGAGTCAGCAAAGCCTGCAGGTGCAGGCACTATGTCAGGTGTTGGTGCATCAGCATAAGATTCCTAGAAGAACACAAATGTTTTTAAAAATAGACAATCGTTTTTAATAACTACTTAGTCTCATAAACAAATAAGTATTAGACGAATCTTTCTGTCATATTGCTTACGTCTATCTTAAGCCTAAACAATGCAACAAAGCATTGAAAATGCATCAAGTTTTATTATTCATTGGAACATTAATAGTTCTTATATTCTTACCGTACTAATATCGGTATGCGAAGCTCTTGAAGCTCTTGTATCATCTTCATGAGCAGCAGTTACAATATGCACTTCTTTTCCACAGTGTAAGCAATGTGCTTTTGCTTCACATTCAGCTGTAACCAAGCTGTGCTCAGTTTGTTCGGAATAGAAAACTGAGTCTGAACCCGGTGAAACTGAGCGTAGGGATTCTGCTGATGCTGCTTTCGCAAATTTTCCATCTTGCGAAAAAGAGATTATTTATTTAGATTTGTGTGATTTATTAGTCTAATAACTAAATTTGTTTATGTAACAATTGTTTATGATACTGAATAACCAATAAAATTCATTTAACAGACAAATACGTACATATAACGATTACTACAAATATTGAGACAGAGGAATACGTTTTCTACACACTATCTAGAAATAAGAATATTTCTTATGCAAACCTTTATCTTGTTGCTTTCGATGGTGTCTAGGCGACGAATTAGGACTTTTTACATATCGTAGTGGAGTCAATCTGCAACCTGCTTTAGTTAAAGTACGAGACGTTTCAATATCTTCTGCCTCGAGGGAACTGAGACAGGGTACAGTAGGAATTGATTGTTTTCTTCTAGGCAAACTGCCCGGGAGTGATATACTTTCATTTGAACCACTTTTTCGTCTTGGTCTGTGAAAGAAAATAATTTAAGTTACAGGGCGAAAATAACATAAAAAGTTTTTCTGCTGGTCTAAATTGACAGTGCACTCACCTATAGGAATGATTATTTCCTGATGTAGGAGATTTTGCTAAAGAGTTGTTACTTGTTTTTCTTCTAGGACTATCTCTTAAGCGTCTGTGCTTTCTTGGAGAAATATTCCCATTGTTGGTTCCTGGGAAAACAATGAATTTTGTTATATTTGGATCTGAGCATAGACATAGGACTGAATCTTTAAAAAACTTACCATCTTTTCTATATTGTTCACTAGAATCATCAGAAGTAGGTATATTTAGATGTAATTTCATACCAGAACTTATACCTTCTCTGCCGTAATGTTGCATTCTGTAACTATGATTACCGTCAATGGCTTTACTCTGTGTTGGACTCTTAGCTTTCATTTTAGTTCTTTTGACGTAACGTTCTCGTTCCATCGGCCTCTTAGATTCCGCTTCTTTTTCTTTCAAAACTTTTTCTTTAATGGATTTTTCTACATCAATCGGTTCCCTAGGAGACGAGACTTTTGATTTGTCAGCAAAATGTGTTTTCTTTTTCCTAATTTCTGGAGCATTTTCTTCTTGAGGAGATTTTATACTTGTTGTTGTTTTGAATGTTACACGTTCAGACCTATGACTTACGGAATCAGGGTCTTTATCTTTCTTTACCCAGTCATCTTGTGAAGTAGAAATAGAGTCATCATAAGATTTTGAGAACTCTAAAGTAAATGCAGTTTTCTTTTTCCGTCGTTTATCGTCTACTAGCCATGGTTTTGGTCTAGTTGATCTATATTTTTGTGAATGTTTATATGCTAAAAAATTATATTGGTAAGTAAATAGTGGACTATGATTATAATTGTTGTTGTGAATTAAAAAGAAACCATCACAATTAACGCTGTACTTACTTAAACCTCCATCATCATCATCTTCCACAGGACTTTCATAATAACCTGAAGATGAGTAATGCGCGCTTCGTTCATCATCTGATAGAGAACCCTGAAAAAAAGTAATAGGAATGAAATTTTCCAATTACTTTTTATATAGTGATCTGCTAAAAAAGAGGTTACCATCATTTTAGGTACACGTTGCTCTTTTTCATGCATTGGGCTAGTTACTTTATCTTCCTTTTTCACTTCCTTCTTATTTTCTACTTTTTCAGGTAATTCCTTTTGTTTTTCAATTGTAGTTTTATCATTAGTATCTTCTGTAACATTTGGATTGGATCCACCTATGCTGTAACTGCCACTGGAACTGCTTTTACCACTAATTGTCACGCCTCTTGTAGTGCTCTGAAAAGACAAAAAAATACAATCGAGGGACAATTTAAATGTAATCTTTTTTTAGTTATTTATTTTTAATTTATATTTTTATTTTTATTGTGTTGTTTTCCTCTTTAGCTAATATAATTTAATTTATATGAAATTCTTACAGGTTTTGGTGCTTCTTCCCTTGGTTTTTTTACTTCAGTCTTTTCTCTCTTTACATGTTGCGGTATTGGCGTAACGTCAGCTTTTACCTCCATCCTCTCCAATATTGATTTTGGTATTCTTTCAGGTAATGGCAAGGGAGGCGATGATAAATTCGGTACAATAAAATCCTCAGTAATATTAAGTGGTGGTGAGAAACTTGGCACCACTAAGTCTTCTGCAATATTATCGGTTTTAGTAGAGGAATACAAACTAGACGCACTTTCGAATGATGAGCCCTCTTGAGTTTTATTATTCTCTGGATCTAAAAGTAAATATAATTAATTTATTGCAATAGAAACATTACTACATGCACTTGTTATATTTTGGTACGTTGTGAATTACTTACTATGGTTTTGATTTTTGCTATTACTCTTTTTGGAGCTATCTGAATTTGCTGTTACATAATCTTCCGTAGTAGTAGTGCTTTCAGATTGATCAGTCGTATTCATTTTACCTGAATCAGTTCTAGCTAAACTCGTTTCACTACCAGCTGCTTTAGCCAGAGAGGGTTCAGATGGCGACTCAACGATTTTGTGAGGTAATGACCCATTGGGTTCCTTTTGTTGAGCTTTACTTTGTAAGTCCTTTCTTCGTGAAGGGCTTAACGCTCTTTCCCTTTTCTTATTGATGAAACTAGGGGTTCTTTTAAACGGAACATCTGCTAAGTCTAAGCTAGGATGAGTTATAGCAATTGCGGGGTTGGTTTTTATTTTTGGAGATATTGAAGAAGCTATTGGGGAGACTTTTGATGTTGTTGGCTGTTTTGTAATTGGTAGTTGGACATTTGGAACAACGGCCGGTGGAGATAGTGAAGCTCTTGTTTGTTGTGAACTTGTACTGGATGCATCAAGCTTGTTACGAGGTGATGTTGGTGATTGGCTCTGAAAAGTTACCCAGAATTAATTTAGTTATCAATACATAGTTATTACTGAGTACTCTTTATAATTGGAGACAAACGCACTTGAGATGCATCAAATTCTTCATCCAAGGCATCAGTGTCTAATGATGATCGTTGTTGGTGTTGTAATAATAGAAGTTGTTTTCTTCTCGAAGTTGGAGTAAGCAATGCTAGCGCGCCCGGAGAAGCAGCCAAAGAACTTAAATCTGATGAACTGTAATATAATAAATAAAAATATTTAATCTAAGTTGCTATATAATTATATAACTAAACTATAAATTGGTTTACGATTTTAAGTTTTAATTCTGGGAATAAGGAAGGTACATATTATAATTTACCTTATCACGGTTCCATTTTCTGTTCCCGAATCTATTTGTAAGACAGTAGCTTGAGACTCATTCCACAAACCGTCAGAATGGTCCCTACAAAAAAGTTTACTTTAGAACAAATCAACAGGTATGACTTACTATTAAATAACAGTGAAAACTAAGTTACCTGCTATGATCAACCGTTAGAGATTCGTTGGATGCACAAGGCGATGTTTTTTCTAATGGTGTGAGCATTGTTGTAACATGTTTAGATATTGTACCACGTTTTGTTTTATTATCAATATCTACATCAATGCTTACTGGTTCCGGTGACCCGGGACTAGATTTTGCAGTGCTAAAAGAATGTTATTTCTTTAATATTGCAACATTTACAATTTTATTCTACGAGCAACCAGAAGTTGGGAAATCTTATAAAAAGTATATTATGATTGAAAATATACTCATAGCTGCTTCAGCCATATTGTTTCAACGCGCCAGTAAAATGCAATACGAAAACAGGCAGCCCAATCTTCAACATAAAATAATGTAACATTAAATGAAATTATGCAATGAATAAACCAAAATAAAACGCACACATACACAGACGTACATGGATTAAAATTTTTACACACCGCGCATACCTTGTTGGTTTTTCAGAAATTTCTTCCACATTTTGTTCAGTGTCTGTTTGATCTTCGAAGCTTACGCTTCGAATTCTAAATATTTCATGCTTGTAACTAATGTACTTTTCATGAAAATCTTCATATGGAATATTCCCGTCAGAAGAACTATGAAGAAAAATGGATGTGAATGAATGAAAGCACGCATATCAAATTTCCAAGCTCTATTTAATTACTTTTAATTTTGAAGGCAAATCAAGTTTTGCTAAAATTATTGTTTGTTATTCTGTTTGTCGATGTGATGTGAGTAGTGTGCAATAAATTTAATTCCTACGTGCTCTACTGGTATAAAATGTAAAAGCATTCCTATTGCAGAAACTTTTCTATTACAATAAAGTCGTTAACATTTTATTTATTACCTAAAAGACCCATCTGGTTCAAATCCAAATATTCCTTCATCTTTAATAGGCGTTTCAGTATAATTTTGTCCAATGTATTGTTTGTACATGGCCTCCCTTTCACGGTCTTCTCGTGTCATGTTTTCTTGACTGGTAGACATTATAAAATCTTTTCCACCTTCAACATTATTGAGTTCTGTTTTTCTTCTGTAATCATAAGGCATTTGATTCTATAAAAATGAATCACAAATAATGAAAATAAGTAGTTATTTGGATACTTACACGTCTAATAGAATTTCACCCTCTGACATAGTCTTCTGTAGCATTCTCCTATTCTTACGTAAAGTTGTAAAAGGCATAGCTTCCTCGTCAGGTCTTGGTTCAAAATCTATAATTATTTCTTTTTCATTTTTCTCACTGTCGTCTGTTGTAGTAGCAGAAGTTTCAGTCGAAGGTTCAGAATGGAACGATGTCTTTGAAAATGGGTGCGAGTTAATCGTCTTTTGAGAAGTGTCGCTAGTACTTTTTGATAATATTGATCTCAAAGATTTGTCTTGATTTTTGGCTTGTTTGGCAATCTCTTGTTGTAAGTATTCTAAATTTTGGCGATTTAATTCCATTCGTTTTTCTATTAAATCGATATCATCATCTACCGTGTCATCTCTGTCGCTTTCATGGATAAACTGAAAGTTTTGCTGGAAATATTCTTGAGCTTGACGTTGTAAAGCACTAAGTTCCGAAGATTTATCTACTTGTGATGAAGCCACAGATTTGATCGACGATGAAGTGACGTCATCGGAGTCCCCTCTTTGAAGAAGGGGTGAAGTTGGCATATCGTTTGTTGGTGATCGGGGTGATCGCGGTGGCTCTTCTGATTGTGTTCTATGCAGTTTTTCGTGATCAATAGCAGTGATGAAGCTGTGTATTAAAAAAGGTAAGCACAATTAAATACACATTTAAAAAACATATATAATATTGTGTATTTCAAAACATAGCCTACAAAATCAAGTAAACAAACCTGTCAACAGTAGTCGCAACATCGCTTTGGTTATCTCTACCAGCAAGTCTGTCACCTCCTACTTCAGAAAATGATTTTGTTAGTCTTCTTGGACCAACGTATCCATTTGTTTGTACACCTGCTGCTACCATTTTTACCTGTCATTAAACAGTAGTATTTCTTAAAGATTCTAGTTGTATTATAAGATATATAAAAATTTTCGATTTGATTTGTCACTCACCCTTTTTATCGTCCGTGGACTTAATGATAAATAATTAGGTGGTAGTGGTTTCCTTCCTAAACAAACTTCTGTTTGTGTTGCTTGTGTTCTCATGACTCCTTTCTTTATAGTATCTAAAATATAATATGCAAAATTCCAGATTGATAAATAGTTATTTTATAATAAAAGAAGCTTATTCTTTAATTATATTGATTGTAAAAACTGGTATACCAGATGGTAATTTCCAAACTATTTAAAGTTATTCTAAACCAGTTACTTGATCAATATCTAACTCACCTAGTACAACTACTTTGGGTTGTGGCTCTATTTGTGCTGGCCTTGGCATAGAAGGAACTGGATGAGTGGGAATAGGAGCTATAGGTGGTGGATAGTGAATCGGAGCCGGTGCTTGCCCGGCTATAAACTGTGCGTAAGGCGGAAACGGTTGGAACATTATTGGTAGAGTTGCATACGGCTTTGGTTCAGGCTGAAAAATGATGAAAAAATATTATTAGCATTTTAATTTAAAAAAATTGATAAACATATTGTGTAATTGGTTTCGTGACTATTTTGCTAAAAAGATAGAGGAAAAGAAGAACTCCTGCACCTGTTTTATCACTATATCTAGTTTTGCTAACCGATAAAGATACATTACCTTAACAGCACGTCCATCGATAAGCCTCTCGCAGTCTCGACGAAACCTGCTGCCACCAACTGCAGCGGGCATCACCGAGTCGTCAAAAGTTGTCAGTGTATGTGAGCGGGCGAACGACACGTGTTTTGTTCTGTAAGATCCAAACGTTTGGAAAAAAATTAAATATCATAATTGGTTAGAAAATACACAGCTGTAAAATATTTCATAAAATCGCAGTATTGGTTTGATAAGACCACATCAGCAAATTGACAATGTTTCAGGAAAAAGATTTAAAGATTCTATGAATGAAATTATTCGATAACTTTTTTATGCTTAACTAGGAGAGTTAAAAAATTTCAGGTACCTATACGTAATTTTTTTCATGTAGTTCGTATTATATTTATGACCTTCATATTGTGATTAAAGCATGTTTGACCTATGATCACCTGTGGTTGTATTATACCAAGGCTACGAAATATTTTTTGCAAAAAATAAGGTATATTGAGATCACAGCAATAACAAGTACGTACAATTTGCCCAAAGCCATGGTATATGAACGTTTTTAATAAAGTTATCTTTTGGGTTTTGTTGATGTCCGAATTCCTGACCCTTTCAAACCGCAGAATTGTTACTAAGTATTGGTATACACAAAGATTGAATCTTTTAGAAAATATCAGAATGTTAAAAGCGTGTTCATTTGTATTTTATTATAAATAAATTATGCTTCTATAGCAAATTAACCCCATTTAGTGCGCCCGAAATATACTCACAAGCGTCTGACCCGATATCGCGATGACCACTTATCCCCGAAAGACGTAATCAATTAGTCTTTTTGAATGTAGATGGCGCTTCTCGCCATCGACCCTATTTAGTCAAAAAGTGATTGCCTTTTGCATGGCCAAATATGTTAATATCTAGACGACACTCGGTAACTTCCATCTTAAGCGTGATTGACGATCCTCAGCCCGGCGCGCCCCAGTTAGTATTCGAGAGCCCTCCATTAACGTTGTTTCGATTTGTTATGTAGATAGTCTTTCATATGCGCGCGTCTTTCTCCTGTATTACTTTCTGTTTTAAATATTTACTTGAGTCGTAGTTTCTGTGAATGTTTCTGTGCCCCGTAAGTGGTCTACCGGCTGATTTAATTTATTTAGACCAGTTAACCTTCATAATTGACTGATGTAAAAGTCCATTTTCATAAGTAAGAAAAGAAACGTTTCTGTGCACCTACAATTATTTTTTACAATTACCTGTGCGGCGGTATTGTTAACGGCGGAGGCGGCGGTGGCGGCGGAATCGGCGTGTGGGCGGGACAACTGAAAGAAAATCAGTGTTCTTTTATTTATAGACTTATGCATTGGAGTTGTACTGGATATCGTATTAATGTTCTATCTTTTGTTTCTAACTAAGCCCATTATCTATCAAAGCGGAACAGAAAAGAGCTATATTTTAGCAAACAATGGTCTTTGGTAGATAATGCGCTTACTGATTTATTATAGCGCCTTATTTTGCATTAAGAAAAAAAAACGATCGGTTTACAAATTAATTAGGCCAGAGTTATCGCGTAACATATGTACATACAAAAAAATACAATCGAATTGAGAATCTTCTCCTTTTTTTTAAGTCGGTTAAAAAGGCTTGTAGTGGGCAAGAATTACCAACAAATTGATAGTAAACACTACATTCCTTTCTTTGTACATATTATATTTCAATTTAATTACAATTGACGATTTTGGTAGGTAATAAAAAAATAAAAATAAATAAAAATAAACGTTTTTATAAAAAATATTTTTAAATGGTGGATAAAAACTGTGTGTTAGGGATATCGTGTGTCTCTAGGAAACGTGACGGGTTAATTTACAATGCTCTCTTGGATGGTCTTCGTGTCGGAGAAGGAGAACTCATAATCATCATCATTATCAACCCATTTATACGTCCCACTGCTAGGCATGGGTCTTCTCTCAGGCGAGGGTTTAGGCCATATTCCGCCACGCTGGCTCAATGCGGGTTGGAGATTTCACACTTGTTCCGAGACTTGTGTGTGAAGGTTCTTCGACCTGCAGGTTTCATCACAATGTTTTCCTTCAACGAAAGCTCGTGATAAATATGGAATTAAATCTCGCACATAAATTCCAAGAAACTTAGAGGTGCGAGCCCGGATTCGAAGCCACAGCCTCTACTTCAGAGGTAGTAAGTTGACTTTATGTTAATCATACTAAAAATGCATGTGTAATGTATTGTTTTGTTTTAAAGGAATAAATTATTTTTTATTTATTCTATTTCTACATTCTTCGCGTTATGACTGTTTGGGTTGGCTGCCTGTCTCTGTGGTATGCCGCCTCGATAAAGCTATTATATCCACATTTAGCTGTCAAATTCAAGTGATATACCGCAGTTTAAAATTTTATGATAATAGCGAACATGGTGAGCACCTTGACGTCACAATTTTATGTCAACGCGAGCGCCGGCGACCAATGACTGCAAAAGATTAACACAGTGATTTTAAAACATTTGCACAGTAATAAAATTTTATTAACGTAAAAATAAGTTGACAAGACAATTTTTGCATCATAACTTTCGCAACTTTATATTTTATACCGCAATTTTATACCGTTGTCCTTGTTCTACAAAATGTATAACAACAGTTCATTATCAAATAAGCAAACTTAGATTTATCAACTGAATTAAATATTGTCACGGGGAAGTTTATCACACATATTCTTCCATGCTACGACCACTAATCACGTTACATTGTGTGGACTAGATTCACTATTAGAATAGCATATTCCTTTTTTTATATAGATAGAAAATTCTTTATTGTTAGCACAGATAGTTGTTTACAGGACAAAAATTAAACACATTAGCAGGGTAACAATTGGCGGTCTTATCGCTTACAGCGATTTCTGTATGTTATTTATTATGGACTACATTTATGTGCAACAACTGGTTTGTATAAGAATATTATAATTTTGTTATGCAATGATTTCCTAAACATGGAAAATGTAATGACATTCACATTTTTATAAAAACATGTCGAAATAATTCTAGGTGTATTTTGCCAAAATATGTGGTCAAAAAGATACCAAAATCTTTGGCAATTAAAATAAACATACGAAATGATTATTGCAAAATTACTATTACTAGTACCAGTAGAGCTCCTTGTGAAGCCTTGGAGACAAAGATTTTGAGTGACAACCGTAACTGGTCGAACGTGCTGTCTTTAGAAAGAATAAAAATCTAATAATAACTAACGAAGTACAGGTTTTCAATTGAAAAGCTATTTACGTCTCAAATGGAAGAAAAACATCTAGGTTACCTTACTAAATGCATTTAAATAATACAATACAATTACGAGAACTTTTTGGTTATTGCAGGACTAACTACACGTGTAGGTACACATTAGAGCAGTGTTAGATTTAGTAGCAGTGGAGCTCTTTATGAAAGAGTTGTCCAAGGAAGTACTGCAATCATACCTATTTCTGCTAATGCTTATATTATTGCGTTCCGGTTTTGAGCGGTACGGGTGTTAGTGAAATTACAGGTACATGGGACTTGTCAAATTATGTCTCAGGGTGCCAGGCGCGGTGGCAGTGCCCCTCAGATCTTATGGCATTGCAACTGTCATGGATAAGCGTAAAATTGTACTTAATAATAAAGTTTTTTTAACCGACTTCAAAAGGAGGAGGTTCTCAATTCAACTGTATGTTCTTTTTTTGTATGTATGTTACGCGATAACTCCGGTATTTGTGGGCCGATTTTCATGATTCTTTTTTGTTGGAAAGGGGGTACTTCCATAGTGCTCCCATTTCATTTTGAAGAAAATCATCCATCTGAATCTGAATCTGAATATCTGAATCTCGAAGGGTCCACGTATGAAGATTCATTTTTATAAATAGCGCCTAACTTTAATTTAGAAGCAATTACTTTAATGGTTGATTTTGCTATTTCTCCAATTCAAGGCGTTTTTTTCTCAATATACTTTGAGTAGTGAGAACCGATTTTTATTATCTCCAGGGTCAAGTCCTGTATAGTGGCAAACTAGGGGATATTTCAATAAAACTTAGCAAACAGACGTAATTCCACGTACTTTTGGGGTCGGTTTTTTTAGTACTCTGTACTGAGAGTATTGTACTATCAGAACATTGTTGAGATTTTTTTTATAATATCAAGTGACGGAGTCGTACGCCTGGTGGTAAGCTACATAACATGCCTGTCTATAACAGTTGCCATTCAGAGCTTTACTTCGCAAATATCTGAGCGGCACTGCCACTGCGCTTGTCACCCTGAGACATAAGTTGATATGTCCCATGTGCCTGTAATTTCACCAGTACCCTTACCCTTCAAGACCGGAACATAATAATGCTGACGTTACTGTTTGGCGGTAAAAATCTATAGTAAGGCAGTAACTCCAGCTTCTGCGTTTTGCATAGAACTGAACGCTGTCTTTAGTTACTGCACAGGTGTCACCATAGACATTTTATCACCGTTTAGAGCGGTCTATTTAATAATTTTTATTTTGCACGAAAGCAAAATATGATAATAATTGAATGTTCACATTATTGCTTGACAATAGAAGTAGGTAAGATGACAGTACTTCCCTGGACAACTCTTTGAGAAGGAGCTCTACCGCTACTTAAAAGTTTTTTCTTGGATGGTTTATTCTTTATTATGTTTTGTAAAAAGTAATGGAACAAAAGTTGTTGTTTATGATGTTAATATTATAAACCTGTGAGGTTGTTGTATTTTGAGTTGGTGGGCATTTGAAAAATTGTGGTTTCTTTTTGTGGGTGGGTCTTTTACTTTTAGCACAATGTTTTTTCACTTTCACCATTTACGGCCCAGTTCTATATTCTTGCGATCGTCCTCCATACATCCGACCAGATAATCCCCAAAGGTTATGTAATCAATAAAAATGACTCACGATTTAGGTACAACGGAATCCACTCGCCCGCATCCATTAGACCCAAAACACGGCTTGAGTTTTCCTCAGGGGCTGCTAATGTGGCCCTTGTTTTCAACAGTAAGCATTGTTCAGTAATTGCACGGAGGTATGTAATTAATGACTGGAAAGTTTGATACATTTCTGACGGAATTATGAACTCTTAAAATAGGTCCTTGTGTTAAGCGGATAGCTGAGGTAATTTTTGGTTTTGGTAATTATGGTATAGGTACCCTTCGTGCGTTCTCATTATAAAGTTCATATTACTATGATGCTTTGTTATACTGGGTAGATTATTGTTACAAGATATCGCAACACTCATACAAATATTTTTAGGTTTAAGTTTTGATGCTTTTGTAGCACTAAATAAGTAAAAATGGAATATAAGTTATTTGCAGCATCGAAAGAGAATCAAATCATTTTAAAATACTTATGATCATTTTATATACACTCAACCTAGGTTAAACAATCATATTAACTACTTCAGCCCCCGTAGTATACCGCCTCGATGAAGGTATTATGTCCACATTTAGCTCTCAAATTCTAGTGATCATCAATTTATTATTTTAAACATTCATCATTCACCATTTTATTTTCATGGTGAATGTTTAAAATAATAAGTTGAAACTTTGTACTCATTAGTAATTTGAAATTTTATGTGGTCTGTGTTTGGAATGATAATCTCAGTTGTTATGAGCGCGGCAAAGTCAGAGGAAAGGCATTTTCCTGAACCTAATTTCAAATTCAATGTTAAATTTCATGGTCTTCCTTTTACTTAAGATGCTATGTTATTTAGAAGAAAACAATCACTCTGATTGAGGCTTTCGGTCAGTATAGTAAAATTACAGGTTTCTTGTTTCGTGGTTTTCGTGGCGATGATTAAACGACAAAGATATAGAGCTATATACGCAATTACATATCCTTGTCCTTGTTCTGTAAAAAGTATAACAATATTTCATTTACCAAATAAGCAAAATTAGCTTTATCAACTAAATTAAACGTTGTCTCGAGGAGGGTTATCACACAGATACTGTCTGCTACGCGGACGGGAGCAATTGCAACTACAACAAGCAAACTACTCGTTTGCTTCATTTTTATTAAAGTCATGTGCAGAATTGCACACTACTGCGAATTAATTGCACGTTAGTGCGACTAACATTAATTTTTGCACTCCAAAGTAGGAAAGTTAGCAAAGTAGGCAGTTTTCAAAAACTTATTATTGAAAACTGCCTGGCCGCTACATAGTCCTACATCGTAGTTATAAAATCTGCACGTACGGAAAGATCATACACCATCAAGAGAGAAGAATTTGGATTCTTGGTTGAGATTGGTCTTTAAAATACTCCTTAATAATTCCATTTGTGCTTAAAGTATGTC